AAATATTATTATATATATATATATTAATATTAAGTTATAATTATAATATATATTTACGATAAGGTGTAAAAAGTAAAAATAGTCGCAATCACACAAAAGCGAGAACAAAACAATTTCTTTCTTACATTTTTTGTATCTTATCGTGTCATTCTCATGCCAACACCTTAAAAAGAATCTTAAATGGTGGAAATTTTAGAATTATTATTTAAACCATTATCTCGACAAGAGGTTTTATTGGCAAAAATTAATCGTTACGGTATCTTTTTTTCATTTAATCAAATTTCAACCAAAATGATACGAAATTAAAAACACGCAAGAATGTGGGAAAGAATGAAACGGAAGAACAAACATTCTTGTTGTTCTTCTTCTCGCTTAAATTTTCCTGATATTGTTCCCCCTCGCTCTTCTGAACCCCCCGTACCTATGAGATTATGATTATAATAAAATCCGTTATATGTCCGTAGCATACGGCAAACAGTTTTTATTTCTATAAAGAATGATAAATAACAAAATAGGAGGGGGGAAGAAAGGAGGGTGACCGTCAAAAAATGCAAAATAAAAGGGGAGAAACAATTTATGACATAAAAGTGAGTGTAAATGAAAGGTGCGTGTAAATGATAAAAAAAAAACATATCAAACAGTATTACTGTAAATTATGTTTTATTATTATCACGACGTATAATGATAATAATAATTAATTTATACGCTCGTCTATTAGCATACTTTCATGAATATCAATCGTTAACGCATACATTTCTAAAATCATATCAATTGTATATCTAACAATTCGACGATTCGTTAGTGAATTGTAGATACAAATTTTAATTTAAAAAATGATAAATTATGTGTACGATTGAAAAATAGACGAAACGATCATGAATTTAAACAATTGTTCATTTTCGTTTAAATTATATTAAAAAATCCAGACTGTGATGATAGTTGGAATCGACTATCATAGATAAAGTTAATTACCTATTAATTAGGTTGTTGTTTTGATTAATTTATTAATTAATTAACCAAAAACCTGAATAGAACTAAAGAAAGTAATAATTGATCAATATTATTACTTTGTTCGATCTTCTCATATATATGACACGAAAAGAAAAAATGATAATGTTTTATTTTTGAATTTTTAGTACGTCGTACTTAAATTCTTTAAAATTATATTCACGAATGGGAAAAGTGAAGATTGAAAAGCTTACGAAAGAAAAAGAGAAAGAGA